CCCCAAAACCCCAAAACCCCAAAACCCCTGATTCAACTATCTATTTGAAATTAGATTTATTCAAACTGTTGATTCCTACGTTCTTCAAGGTGGAGGGAATTCTCTGAGAGAGTAAATTTCCCATACTTCCATTCTTCTTACTCATAGAATAGGATGAGTTTCTTTCAGCTAAAGTTATGCTAGATTAAACAATTCTTACTGTTGGAAGGTAAATTCAGAGATGTGATGCCACTGATATTTACATCAAATTCTTTAATCTTTTTATCGTGAAGTATCTGTTGGTCAAGGATATCCTTATAAGCCTGACCTTTTTGAGTATTGCCAAATACTAAAATTCACGAGAAAGTCTTACATAAAGCATTTTTAGTGTCTTCTCTAATGAAATGTGCTCTGACCATCTCTTTTTCATTATCCACCATTCTCTGGTGGATAGCTTTCCTATTTTCTATTATCATCAATTTGCTGCATTAATTCTGAATTAGCTCTCTGTTGAAGCGTTACTTTAGATTGGTATTTCCTAATAAAGTTGAGTAATATACTTACTTGACTTCATCTTTTTGGATCTTTTCATTATACTCTCTAATAGATCTATAGATGGTTATAAACTTAATTCCTGTACCTCTCTTGAGTCAAAAGATTAGCCTTAGACTTGTTTAAGCTAGGTTTAAGGACTTTCTTCGTATAATCTTTCATTCTTTCATCGATCAATTTATCAGTGGAATTTATCTTGGCTTTGTAAACATCAAAGGAACCTCCTTGTCCTAATTGCAGATTTCCTTGAGTTGATAATTTGTTGGTTTCTAAAAGTAGCTTATGGCTTACCTTCGAGGTATTTTTGGAATTTATTCTGTTTCTGTTTCATCTCTAGCAGTTTTGCTAAGTCTTTGTTATAATCCATCTACATGCCAGGTCACAGTTTTAATTGCTCATTATAAAAAGAAAACAACCAAAACAGAACAAAGAAACAAAGAGAGCCTAAAATCCCTTAAAAATTCTATTATCAAGCAATGATTATCTATGAGATTTATGTTAAAGGATATTTCAAAATCCAAAGAAGGACTTAGTTTGGAGTTTTCTTCAGATCAAGCGAGTTTAAAGAGAGTTCTAAAGGTAAACATTACCTAGAACAGAACTAACTCTGCTCCCTCTAGCTTCGGTTAAATCTAAATAGAGACAGCATTATTTTTGATGAATTTATTAACATCTTTGAATAGACCTAATATGGCTATTTTAACCTAACAAAAGAGAGCAAACAAGCTAAAGAATAATGCATAAATGTAGGCCAGATCTAGTGATAATTTGGATTTATGATAATAAGGCTATTGAGGATTTATAGCCTTCATTGCAATTTTCTAGTTCTTGGCTAAAACTCTTCAAAGTCTCTATGAATTACATAGCTTAAAGATATTTAAGGTTATTTGATTAATTAGGAATATCATCAGAAGATAGAGCCTCCACATCAAAGCTACCTGATAGAAGTGAGATTAAGAGTGAAATATCGAATCCGTTCCTAATACTATTGACTCATTAAAGATTGTTCAGTTTCCAATACTTAGAGAAGTTTTAATCAAGGGATTCGTTTATTCTCTAATTAGTTATACTTACCTGTTTTAGAATTCTGTTCTTTTTCTGTAATGCATTGGACGAGGTAGGGCTCAAAGGGGGTCAGGTAATATTTGATTGATCTCTTACTGAATGTGTTGGATATCTGCTTTGACCAGCATCATACATACGGTCCATGCGCCTCTCCATTTCCTTCCTTGCATTATTTCTCATTTATCTGCTGCTGATAGATATCCTACAAATCAAACAAGTGAATAACCTGCAGAAGAGTCCTAAAAGATAAGGGGTCGCTTACATTCTGGCCTTTTTGGACTGACTCCCTTCGTTCATCAATCTGTAAGCCTCCTGGTCCTTTAAGACCAGAGAGTTATTGAACACTTCCTGGGGGATTATAGGGGTACTGGAATCAAGATGGCTGTTGTTGTGTCTGCTCTGGGTTAGATCATGGTTTCTGCCTTTAGTTCCTCTGAAGTTTAAACATAAGGATACTTATAAACAGGTCTACTACGTTCGAGGGAGTAATTATGAGGTGCTACAACCCTTCCACTCGGCTGCCACAGATTGTACATTCAGATATATTTCAGTTTATTTTATTTCTTTAGGGGTTTTGGGGTTTTGGGGTTTTGGGGTTTTGGGGTTTTGGGG